CTCTTAATACCGACATCACACGTCTCTGGGGCGCGTACTCGCCCTATTTCTCCGCTGGGATGTACACGTCGCCTCCAGCTGGGTGTCGTGTGGACCAGTTATTCATCCTTCAAGTGCGCCCAGTGATCTCACGGGAATCACGCTCTAGGTCAACATAGTGCGTCGACTGTCTTCTGGCGCTTCTTCTAAGTGTGTAATATTGCTTCGCTCGGACAGTTGCAGCGCCACGGCGCGCGCTTCCCCACCTCCGGCGCCTCTACAACGATCATCTCAGGAATACACAAGCTTCAGAGCGTCCACACCTACACCGACCCGCGGCTTGACTTTCTCAAGAACTTCGCGTATACGCTCGGAGTGGCTGACCTCGTCCCGTTCGGGGCCCACCAGTTCGTCCACTTGATGTAGGCAAAATGTACTTTTTTATATCCCCTGAATAGATCATTCGAGGCTGGGGAAGACGCCTATAGCAGATACCGCAATTTATTACGACCGGAGAACCTCCCCTTCCTGCGGGCGTCAAGCAGTGCACGAGTCGTTGATAGCGCTACTAATTGGACCGCGGGTGCGAATTACCCTGATGGACGCTCATTCATTCACTTTGCACAGGTTTCTCCGCCGCAAGTCATCACGTTTACAACCCTCCACTCTCCGTTATCCTCTCCGAAGATGTGCGCACGTCTCTCGCCACATCGCGCGCCGCTCACAGTGCCTCAGGGCAACGACACGCTCGACGACGGCATGTGCGCGAACGCGGGGAACTCCGACGCACAGACGGACGCCTGGCTCGCGGTCTTCGCCCCGCCCATCACCGCGCGCCTGAACCGCTGGGCCCCCGGCGCAAATGTCACCGACGCGGAGACGTACTCTCTTATCTCAATGTGCCCCTTCCATACCGTCGCATTGTACACAATAGGACAGCACATCCTTCCGCTCAGCCCATTCTGCGCACTCTTCAGCGCCGACGACTTCGCGGCGTTCGAGTACTCGATGGATCTCGACAAATACTACGGCACCGGGTGGGGTTCCCTCTCTTCGATTTTCACGAGCACATTCATATCGTATTTTGCTAGGTACGGAGCTCATCTGGGCCGGGTGCAGGGCGTGGGCTACATCAACGAGCTCCTCGCGCGCCTCACGCACACGCCCGTCAATGACTCCACGCAGACCAACCGCACGCTCGACGCGTCCCCCGCGACCTTCCCGCTCGATCGCGCGCTCTACGCGGACTTCTCGCACGACAACCAGATAGCTGCGATCTACGCCGCGATGGGGCTCTTCCCGCAGGCGGCGCCGCTCGACCCGACCGCGGCGCCGGCGCACATGGGGACGTGGGTCGCGAGCCGGCTGGTGCCCTTCAGCGCGCACATGGTTTTCGAGCGCCTGGCGTGCACGCGCGGGGCGCAGTACGTGCGCGTTTTGGTGAACGACGCGGCGCAGCCGCTCGCATTCTGTGCGGACAAGAAAACTCCGGGGGTGTGCGAGCTCGGTGCGTTCGTGCGGAGCCAGGCGTATGCGGGCGGAGGCGGGGACGGGGATTGGGCGAAGTGCTTTGCGTGAAAAGAATGATTCCAATGGGACGGGGTGAGTTTGCCTATCAGCATGATCCTCCGCATCAAATCTGATGGCCGCTCACCCTTGACGGTCCACTTGCGGTCCACCGATGACCAGCGCCAAGCCAGCGCTTCGCTTTGTCTCCGGTGGGTGAGAGGTGGTTGATTCCGATAACTGACACCACTATAAATGGATTCTCATCCCCGCTCAACCCTCGCTCAGTGCCTCATGTCGATCGGCGGATATTGCTTCAATGTTGCCTCAGTGAGCTCTAATTTATCTGGCCTCTAAGCAGCTTGCTTCTCGAGGCTATGAATTCCAAACGGTGAGATCTGAGTACCAAAATCCCTTGGAATTCTTCAAGACGTCCGAATGACGCCACTGCATTTCCAACTCTGTTTTTCTTTCAAGTTTCCTTTTGCGACCAGCCCTTTTTTTGGATGCCTCGCTCACAGCGCCTATCGAATCACAGAAATACTCATATCTACTGAGGAGCATAAAATCATATCGTTGTCCCACTTTCTACCCCGCTTCGTGTCATGCTTCTATATCTTTTGTTTTCTTTGCTCTCACCGCTGGAGAAACTACTCGCTAGTACTCCTGTCCCCAGCAGCACCTGCCCTATCCATCATGTCCGGTAACATACTACCACGTTCGACGACGATTGCCTTTATGCCACCCTCTGTGTTTATTCTGGAGCCGGACACGCTCCGCTTGCCGATAACACCCTTGCTTTCGTTGTCGCAAAGGTCTTCGCTCTGATCGCAAAGGCCATTGGACTGGATTCGCTGTTCTCGATACCCATCCCGGGAGATGCCAATTCCGAAGACTACCAGGCCTGTTCAATCCTCTTGCTTCATTACCACTCTCATTCGCTTTTACAGGATCATATTCCAGATTGTCCTGCTTCTTTTTATGGCATCGGCTATATTCCCGTCAACCATAGACATCAAGTTTTGAACGATGGCGGGAAGGGGACTATGTCGGGGAGGCTTGAAATATTCTACCGTTCAGTGCGTGGTTTAAATCCTATTTGTGTTCCGCATACCAATAATTCTCAACAGCTGTATATATCCGGCGACGAAGCGCCGAACCAATGTGCCCACTCCAGCGCTCAAAGCCGCTTCAATTCTTGGTACATATCTAAGATTTGCTGAGAGTTACCTTCTGCAAATTAGCGTGGAAAAAGGCACCCTTGGTCTCGGTCTGCACAGCATGAACACGCCAAATTCGACTCCTGCCATGACTTCTGCCCTACGACTCCCTCGAGATGCAAATACATACGTCGCTTTAATTTCTAACCAGCTCATCGGTCGCATCCATGTCTCGTGCAATCCCTTGCAATAATCAGTAATGCTCGCACTCTTTTGGTTGTCCTCTGCTGATCACGGACTTTCGCAGGTTAGATGCAGCCGGAGCGAGTCATACTTCCTCGCTTGTGAATCATGAAACTCGGTATGCGACCATCCATTTATTGATGCAGCTCTGAGAAACATCGAGCATTTCCCAGTCTCTCCCCGACGACATTCCTGAAGAGGAAGAAAACTAAAGAGTGAATGAACACTCGCATTTCTCGTCTGGCTCGTTTCTCTTATGCCATATGCCAGTGTCAGACCTGTCTGCACCGTCGTTTTTGATACCTCTTAGTTTGTATGATGTCAAGTTTGAGAAATGTGATTGCCGTGACCGTTATAGCCTTTGCTTTGCCTGGCCCTCCTCTCGCACGTCGAACAGTGGAGTCTCATGAGCCCTTCTCAAGACACGGTCCAGCACACGACTCGCCAACACAGTGACATAATGGTCCGTATCATTCACATTGCTGCCCATGAAATTCAGTCCAGCGAGGCGTGCATTTCAACCCCGGATTCTGACGCTACGCTTGCTCGGGGCGCTCAAATTGCCTGGAATATTCCTCCGATTCCCATGGAGAATATGGTGCTATTTTTTGCAGGCATGAGTCGCCTCGGATCCGGCAAGTCAATGTGAATTTGCTTCATTGTGTAATTGCTATTCATGATCCTCCGCCGCTCCAATTGCTATGCAATTCGTGGACACATATCTAATCTTGCAATGGCTCGCATACTTATTGCCTTTTCTTCAGACCCGCGGCGCAACACAAGTTAATCGTGATTACAGTACAAAAGGCTACTTGGCACACTCGTAAAAACCTCCCAGGTCAACAACGAAATTCGAATCCAAATCCTCCATGCCGGCAATTCTACATTGGACAATGGTATCGCCCCCGGAATGGACGCATTGCCTTCCATAATTATAGTATGGTGTCTTTTGTCTGATTCGTTCCCTGGGTCACTTTGCCGTTAGCCGTACTCCGCTTTCTGCACCCATCAACGCCTTAAAACCGTCCGCCACACCAAAAATACGGCGATTCTATTCCTTTTGATGCAGCTGATATCATGAAATCCACCAATATTAACTTGAACCTTAAATTCGCTCTGCGCATCTCGAGGCAGTAAGATTGCGACCTGGGGAATTAGAAGTACCAATGTAACACATTACGCTACGGGTATACGAGTCATTGTGCCTCGGCCGGAGCGGAGCGACGGCATGTCTTGTAATACAGTATTCGGGTGCGGGGAGTCGAACCCCGCTCTGCGGGCTGCCAATTTTCTTCAAGCGATGAAGGCACGCGGTGTCCCGTACACCAACCTGATTCCTTACCCTATGTATCCCTCTGTAAAGTACACAGATATGCGCAAGGTCTTGATTTTGAAAGAAAAAATGAACGGTGAGGTGGGAAATTCGGGCGCGGGGGTCGAAGCCCCGTCTGCTTCTACCTTCTCTCACCATGGAAAGAAGGCGCGCGGTGCTCCGTACACTACACCCGAGTATTTGCTATGTTTCTCCCTCGCTCAAGTACGCAGATTTCGACTGCCTGAGAAAAAAGAAGGTGCATGGTTGTGGATTATTCGGGCGCGGGGAGTCGAACCCCGGTCTGCGGGCTATCATTGCTACTCTCTCCTTGGAAGAAGACCCGCGGTGTTCCGTACACCACACCCGATTACTTGCTCTGTTCATCCCTCTGTAACATACGCAGATTTCGACGGTGGACTTGGCCCGAAAAAACGATGCCGACCGTCTATTCGGGCGCGGGGAGTCGAACCCCCGCCTGCATGCTACGCATTTCCTCTTGCACAATCAATGCCCGCTGTGTCCCGTACACCACACCCGATTCCTTACTGTCCTTATCCCTCTCTCAAGTACGCAGATTTCGACGTCGGATTTGCCTGAGATAAAAGATTGTGATGGTAATGGACTATTCGGGCGCGGGAAGTCGAACCTGATCTGCGGGCTACCATCCTTGCATAATGCTGAAGGAAGGCCCGCGTTGTTCCGTACACCACGCCCGAGTACTTACCCTCCTTCTCTCTCCGTCAGTAAACAGATCTTGCGCAGTGACAGCGAGAAAAAAAGTGGATGATAACGGATTATTCGGGCGCGGGGAGTCGAACCCCGGCCTGCGAGCTGCCGCTGCTCGTCTTAGCAATGAAAGCCCGCGGTGTTCCGTACACCACGCCCGAGTATTTGCTCTGTTTATTGCTCTTCCAAGTGCGGTAGAATTCGTGCAAGGACTTGGCCCGAAAAAAAGGGTGCAATGACAACCCAATTCGGGCGCGGGAGTCGAACCCCGGTCTACGGGTTATATGTGTTTGCAGTTGATAATGAAGACCCACGGTGTTCCGTACACCGCACCCGAGTACTTACAAGCTTCATCCCTTCATCTAGTGGGGTAGAATTTCGACGTCAGACTTGGTTGAGGAAAAAAGGTTGAATCGAGGCTATAGAATTCGGGCGCGGGGAGTCGAACCCCGATCTGCGCACTATTTGTCGAGAAGTTGAAATTCAACTTCTCGACATATGAAGAAGGCGCGCGGTGTCCCATGCATCACACCCGATTTCTTTCTCCCTTTCGTCCTACATCAAGTGCGGTAGATTTGTGCAGGGACAGCGAGAAAAAAAGGTTGGACGACCTCAAATTCTGATTCGGGCGCGGGGAGTCGAATCCCGGTCTGCGTGCTAACACTCAGCCTCGATGTCAGAGCCAAGAGGACGCGCGGTGTTCCGTACACCACACCCGAGCAATTACCCTGTTTATCTTCTCTTCAGTGGGATAGAATTTGCGCAGGAATTTCCTGACAAAAGAGCCTTGTCGCAACAGTATTCGGGCGCGGGGGGTTGAACCTGGTCTGCGCACTAAACTAAGATTGGGCTCTCGTTGAATGAGACACACGGTGGTCCACACTACACCTGAGTACTTACCCTCCTTCTCCCTCTGCCTCCTGGTTGACGTTCTTCGTCAGTATCTGGCTGGGAAAACATTCAAAAAAGTCAGATGGTGGCGGGGCGTCGACCCGCACCTGCTTCTACCTTCTCCCCATCATCGGCAATTCCCGCGTCCCTCTTGCCACATGCTCAGTATATTTTCCGTGTTTGCCAAAATTGGCAAGCAAGATCCATATAAAATATTTATCGACGATCACAAATATTGTGGAGTCTGACTACGGGAGACTACAAGGCAAGACCACCACGAAAATCAAATAACGATTGCTCGTCAAAATTTCCGATCCCGATCCCATCTTCCTCTTCCCCCCTCAACTCCACATGCACACCCCACATCCTCGCCCGACGTCGCGTCAAGCGATTAATTACATGTATATACACACGAAATAAAATACAACAAATACAAATGTACATCCTCATCCCGCCTCGTGCGATAGTAGAATACAATAAGTAGTCTGTCATGTCGGGATTGTGAAATGAATATGAGTATGAGATACGAATCAGAGGGCAGGAGATATCTAGTGGGTCATCTGGCGGGCGGAGAAGTGGGCGTAGAGTAGTCTGTACGAGGAAGGAGCGGGGACGGATGGAGGCGCGAGTCGGGGAACGCGAGGGTACGACGGACGGTAGATTGGTCGAGCACGGCGGGAGCACGGAGGGGTATGGGAGATATGAAAGGGAGCAGGTGCATCGACGTCGGGGCCGGGGAGGAGAGATGTAGAATGAACATGCCCACACGTCGCAGATATTGGGCTCGATAGTGTACTGCACCCGTTCACAGCCGCGAGTCGCACCTGAGCCCGTCACCCCCACGCTCGAGCCGACGACCGCCCTGCCCCCAACGCGGTGAGAGCCCGCAGACGCCTTCGTGCCCCAAACCCCGTCCCACCAACCCTTCACCCCAACCCTCACCACTGCCTCACGCCCCCGCAACCACCCCCACCACAAACGCCGCCCCCATCCCCATCCCCATCCCCACCCACCACCCGTCCCGCACGTGCGCAGCAAGGAGCGCGTACGGGTACGGATACGGGGGCACGGGGATGTATGGGTGCACGTCCGGGCTGTGTTTCTCCCCGCCTTCGTCGCCACGCACCTCGGGTCTGCGGACCGCCTGGGGCGCCAAGTCGACATCGCCCGCCGCGCCCCCTGCGTGCCGCCATGCCAAGAACCGCCCCGCCGCCTCGGCGTGCAGCGCGGGCAGGTCCAGCGCGCCCCATCCTGCACTCGATCTTCCACCCCCGCCCGCGTCATCTTGGGTGTCGGCACGGGTGTCGGCACGGGCATCGGCGCGGTGCAGAGGGGCGAAAAACGTCCCGCTGCGCGCGTGTCGTGGTCTCGGGCGTGTGGTGGGGGGTTCCTCCTCATCCTGGTGTGCTGTTGGGTCGCCGTGTGCGCGGTCGGGGTCGGAAGAGGGGTGGGAGTCGGGGTGGGAGTCGGCGCCCAATCCATGCCCATATTCAAATCATCGTACGCACCATCCGCACCACCGTCACCGCCGCCACTCACACCCTGACCCCGTGCCCGCACCCCAACAGCGACCGCAGACGCAGACTGAGACGCAGACGAAGCGATCACGGGTGGAGCGCACAGCAGGAGGAGGTAGCGTGGGCAGCGCCGCACGATGGTAAGCAGCCAGTCGCGGAGCTTCAGCCTGCCGCAGCGTGGGTCTGCCTCTCTGGCGAGGAGGTACTGCGCGAACGCGGGGCTGTAGTGCGGATTGGGGTGGGTGGATGTAGGTAGGGAAGCTACAGAGCAAGCATGGAAGGTCTAGATTGGGTGTAGAGAGCCAGTATGGCGAAAGGAAGTAAAAAGTAGTGATGGCAAAGTTCGGTTCGGTTCAGGTTCGGGCCCTTTTTCCCGAACCTTGAACCTGAACCTGCGTTCAAGTTCGGTTCAGCGTTCGAACGCGTTCGAACCTGTCGAACCTGAAAGTTTTTCCCAGGCCCAAAATGACCTTCCTGGGGCTACAAAAGATGCTATCAGTGGTCTGTCATATTGGAACTTCCGTCCCAGAACAATTGCAAGCACATACAACGCCTACAGAGCAGCAATCTGAACAACTCCGTACTCAAAAGATCATGTGACAACACACCGACTGAGTCCTGCGAGGGTAAAACCACAGTGAGGAACCTTTAGAGTCATTCGGAAGGAGGAAGACGGATGGTAGAGAGTATAACCAGTGAAATTATGTGCAAAATTTGGGAAAATAAGGCTCAATTGGGTTAAAACGGGGCCTTTGAGGTTCAATTAGGGTTCAGGTTCGAACGCGTTCGGAAAAAATCATGATAGCCCGAACCTTGAACCTGAACCTGGGGTTCAGTTCAGTTCGGTTCAGGTTCGAACCTGTTTCTGAACCGAACCTTGCCATCACTAGTAAAAAGGTGCTGGAGCCGCAGCTAAGCCGGAGCCATCTGCCGCTGATGGCTTGCAAGCCATCAAAAGCCAAGCCGAGCCAGCCATACACTGCCAACCAAATGACCTGTGGATTCCACCGAAATTTGGATCAGCGGAATCCTGGAGTTACCTTGCTTGACAAGGTCTCTGCGGGGTCATAATTGTCCATCATTTTTACGTCCCCGGTATGATCCGACACCCCTATTGTTCCGATTCACGTGCTCATGTATGATGTGGTCCGGTTTAAGTCCGGTCCGGGTAAAGTATTTATTTTCTACAACTGCTAGAGGTTCCTACGTACATACTTCTACATATCTCCTGCCATCATCACTTTGTCTGCTCATTCAGGCCCTTCAGCTGATCATCCTCTGCAAAGCAAGACTGGATTAATGTTGCCGCGACTCTAAAAGTCGAGTCACGACTCGGTAAGTCGACTCCGGGAGCCGTTCGACTCGACTCGACTCGACTCCGGCCCGGTGAGTCACTCCAAGTCGACTCGAGTCGACTCGAGTCGATGAAGTCGGACTTTTCTGAGCATTTTTTGAGATTGATGGTAAAACAAGGAGTGTATGATAGCCAAGTTGTGTACAGTTACAAATACAATCAAAAAAATCGAGCTACGCATTCGCCTCCTCTGGCATGTGGGCTACGATATCCTCCATCTCGAAGCTTTCCGTGAGTGTATCCATCGCCTCCTGTCGTTCAACCTCATCGCTTGCAGCAGCCAGGTTACGAAGCCAGTCTTCTTCGTCATCGGCAACCGGGGCTGACTGCCACTCTGACATGAAATTCAACCGCGATTTCTTGAAATGGAACTTGAGCATTTGAAGTGCCTCCATTAAATGCGGACTTATCCGATTTCGCCGCTTTGTATCAGTCTCTGCAGAGGATGAAAATACTCGTTCTGAGGGCACAGATGTTGCCTGAATGGGGGCGTAATCGAGGAAGAGACGATATATCGTAGGCCATGTACCCATTCCGTGATTCTAATTGCGTACTCAGTGACTAAAATCACCAAAATAAAACCTGAACCGCACCGTCCAATAGCCAATCATGTCGGTGGTTGTTGGTGGAGGAATCGGACTTTGAACATAGCTGTTCATCTCCTCCTGTACCGACCAAAAACCGTCCGGCTCCGTTGGCAATCCAGCAGAAAAGTCCAGCGCCTGTTGCACGTTGCGGTACTTGTGTGCCGCCTGCAAAATCATTGTAGGTGCTGCTGCTGGAGTCCGAGATTGAGATGGGGGTCGGGATCCTTGAGTGCGAGACCTGGATGAGTGGCGGGAGCCCTGAGATCCACCTGGACTACTGGATCCGGACACCGGGCTTTCCGCATCCAAATCCCGATAGGATTGGAGCTGGACAATTGTATCAGCCAAGCAGCGAAAATGAAGTGCTCCGATCCTAACCTTACGCAAGATGACTTCCTTGGCCGCCTCCTGGTCTTCGGCAGACCAGTTTTTCTTAATCCATTCCAATCGAATTGATGGATTAATAACTGTGGTTGAAGTTAGCGAGGAATTAGAGACTAATTGAATCGTATGGACTCACACATTGCGATGATATAGGCATTTGTGTTATCAAACTTGTCGTAATATTTCCTAGCGATCTCCAAACCTGGGAAAATTATATTTGCAATGTTCTGATCCTCAAGATCGGAGTCGGCGATCATGGCCTCCCAAGAAGATATGAACAACTCAAATGCGGGAATTGTTGCTGCAAGGATAGGTGTGTTCTCGGAGGACATGATTGTCTGCACGGTATGTGGTTGCTAGTTGAAGTGGGCCGATAAGTACACAGAGATAAAATAAGCAGTGACTTGACGCACCTGTAAAATCAACTC